GTATGCAGCTGCCCTGAAACTCTGCCACTTCTCACTTAAATCACAGCTGGCCCTGCTCGGGAGGAGGAACTGGAGGGGCTGAGGCTGAGCAGGGCCAACTTCTAGCAAGTCGGTCCTAAGAAGCCTTCCCAAGCCATGGGACACTGAAGCTGCTCACTGAAAAATGTGAGATAAACTGGGTCAAGTCTGCTCCATTCAAAAAATCATTCAAGGGCAGAGAGGGTCCAAGGCAGGCAGAGTCTGTGCAGGGTCCAACTCAGAGGAGTTGCCCTCTCCGAGTTGTAACAAGCTGCTACATTCCCTCCTTCCCTGAAACCACACTGCTCCGGTCATCTCCTCCTCCAGCTTCTTCAGGCCCATGCCAGTTTCCACTTCCCCAGGCTCTCTGGAAAGGTAAGTGGTGGTACAGTTAGCAGAAAAACTCATTTAATCAGGAGCCCTAAAGAGAAAATATTAGCTTTGCTTATGTGCTCAATTATACTTTCCTGCTCCATGCATTAAAACTCCCTCTTCTCCTTCAAACTGATGAATAACCCGTGTCTCAAAACCTGAGGGAATATTTCTAATTTGGTTAGTGTTAATGCTCATTGCTCAAAGTGAACACATCATGATTACTCACCTATTTGTCCCAACTCTCCCGAGAAAGGTCTGTGGGTTAACGTTACTTATTTAAACCCAGYTTCCTTTCATGCATTTTAACTGTCTGTTGGGAAACAAAAGGGGAAGAGGGAGAGATGCAACAAGGACTTGCCAAATGCTCTGGGTGTCCCTGCTTGAGCAGGAGGGTTGGACTAGATGATCTCTAGAGGGCCCTTCCAACCATTCTGATTCTGTGACTTGTGCTGAACCAGGGGATGCTTCCTACATGCTCACTTCCCACATGCCTCAATTTGGGGTTTAGAAGCATGGCAGGAAAATCTGCCAGCCAACCCACCTGCTAGATGAAGAACTCTGTTGAGGAAAACACCAAACAGAAACCCAACCTTCAGGGTTTGAGAGCGCTGAAGTTGGCCGCCCTCGCTCCGGAGCGGCTCCCGTTGAATGACGGTCCCCCTCTGGTGGCCACACGGCCACAGTTAGCTCCTGTCAGCAGCCACATCACCATCTCCCCACGCTGGTCACCCTGGGCATCCCTGAGGCCGGACACGGCGCYGGGCACAGGGTTGTTGTACGGTGTCACCTCAGAGCACAGAGCTAAGACAGGGAGTGCCACAGAACGAGGCACCAGGACAGRGACATCCTCTAAAATGAGATTCATTATCAGAATATCCAGCATTTCCCAGGCACTTGCCAGCCATGGGGTCACCTATGCTAGGTCCTCTATTGTTAACAGTATTAACGACACAGCAGTAGGAGCCCACGTCTTGACAGAGAAGTTCTTTGTACAAGCAGCTATGCAACCTCCAAACAAAGAGGCCCTGTCACCTCTTCAAGGTGGGGGAGGCACCACAGGCAGAGGACAAAGGACGAACAGGAAAAGGGGAATAAGAGGAAGGAGGACAGAGCTGGCCAACAAGTCCCCCATCCAGGGAGCCGGTGTCAACAGGTGAGGAAACGCAGCACAGGCAACAGCTCAGTGTCTTATCTGAAGACCCCAAGAAGACCTTTTTGTACCATTACTTTTAGCTTTAACAGTTACTACAGTTGCTACCAGAGCATTACGCATTGCTCCCAAAGATTGGAAGGGCCTAGGAGAGGGAAGGTCATGCACTATTGCTGACTGCTTTAATTCCATAGATGAGGGAAAAGAGCCTGCCAGTTTTCCAAGTAGGAGCCTGAATCTGAGACCTCCACAAATCTGAGATAACTCTAAGCAGCAAACCACTTCTCCAGACAAAGCTGAAACCCCTAGAGCTGCTTTCCTCATACTCCAAAGCGACTGTAGAGAACTATATTTCCTTGTGTTTCTTCATCACTGCAGTAAGTGGCACTATCTCATCTTGAGGCAACCTCACACTTCAGCTACAGAAGCACGAGAAAGCCCTAAGCAGCCATTCATTCTGGTAAGAGATGAGATTTTTAAGATTACTCATAAAATTGCATCAGTTGACAGAACTTCAGCATTATGTTAGCATAAATCCCTGAAATTAAGGGATGGGTAAGGGCCAACACTATTCTCACAGCTTATCAGAAAACTGCCTCAAGAGGGAGGGAAGAATTTGCTTTTGGCCACTGCAGTCACTCCTTGCAAAACCCACCCAATCCTACTCTGGCCTTCATAAGCCTGGAGCRACATTAGGCCAATTCCAGTTTCTGTATCCCTCATCTGGTGGAGGAGCTCACTTCCCTGGTCTGCATTCATCGTAGCTTTATACCAAGAGCAGCTTGGCCCTCGGCCTCACTCCCCACTTCCAGCTCGGTGCGCAATTGCCCACGGCCCAACTCGCTTTGGAGCACAGCATCCCTGCAGAAGGGCAGCTGGAAAAGACTGACGAGAAATTTTGGGTGAGCTTCAGCTACAGCTGTTTTGTTTTACTGCTAAAAAAAAGTTATAGTAAATTAAATCTAAAAATGAACAAGTCCAAGCAGTAACACCTCCCTCCTACAATCAAGTTTCATGCTCTCAGAAGCATGAGATTAAGGTTTCTCACGCACTCAATAAAAAACAAAACAACAAAACAACCACACACGCACACACACACACAAGATTTTAGAGTCTCAGATTCTGCACTGCAAGGTGCAGGTGCCAAAGCTGGCTAAGGTTCTGGGGGACTTCACTGTATCCATAACTGGTTTCCTTTTATAGTTCTCATAATCATCTAACTTTTTTTTTGCTCTCACGTGCCAGCTCACTAGGACACGAGATGGTAACAGACATCAAAATCATACAAAATCATACAAAACCTAGAAAGTTCACTAGGGGAACAGTCACTAGTTCAACTGACCAACCCAGACATAACATTATGAAAGYGCGAAGAAAACTTATCCAAATAAAGCGTCATTTTCCCGAATGCTGCACTCCAGCTTTCTGAAGACACTCTTCTCAGTAGGTCTGCACAAACAGAAAGCTTAGCAGAGGAACTGACTGTGCCAAAAATCCAGTTCCCCAAACAGCACAACTACCTTGAAACAGCTCAGGGCAAACGCCTGTGTGTGCAGCGGCCGACCCCACGACGCGAGGCTGCAACCTGCTGTTGCTGAAGCCTCAGGTTGGGGCAGGAAGGATTGCAGTACRTAAGGAATTGGCACCATTCCTCCCTCCAGCCCGAGCCCCCGCAGACACGGGCACCAGGAGAAGCAGAGGCTGTGAAGCCAGCAGCGGGTCACTGCGTCTCCAAAGCATCGCGGGGAGCAGCGCAGGGGACAGAGAGCAGGGCAGCCAGATGGCACCAGACGTCCTGCAAAGAGGGGCAAAAGCTTTAGAACTGACTCCGTGCTAAAATAATTCACCAGGCTGAGCCCTCTTGCACACCCAAACTGATAGTGTTTCTGAAAGCTCCGGCCTTCGCCTGGACCCCTTCCCACGAATACTGCTCGTGGCATGTCAAAACACGTCCACGTGATTGGTATCATGAGGGGGTAGCAATTCCTCCGCATCGTTCTGCTCATGCCAGCTCTGCAGAAAGTCATCCAGCTTTTAATGCCCTGACCTCAGCTCTGGGCTTGCAGTCTCCAAGATTTCCAGGGGACCTTGAGACTTGAGGCTCTGGACATGTTGCAGCACCCACTACTCTTCATCCGACCTGTGTCTCCACTGAACCAGCTTCCAAATATTACAACCCAGCACAKGGCCACCGAGGTGATCCCTGGGATTCACATAAACCATTCACTCTCTTCTTCGGCCAGCATTCACAGCGTGAAAGCGAGAAGCAAGGCAGGATGCTGATTTCATAATGCACCACAGCAGCTGCCTCCTCGCACAGCGGGACACGCACAAAGAGCCACTGCTACAAGGACTGAAGAGGGCCTCAATCTTTGCACAGCCCAGGAMACACAACGCTTGCACAGCTTTCCAGGCAGCAACGCTAACAGACATAAAAACATGTTCCAAACTCGTTTTCAAGCTTAGAACGTAGTATTTTAATTCTTAAGCCACAAAGGGAAACAAAAAGTCAAAAAAGTCCAAGGAAAACYAGTGATAAATTCAGAGCTTTTCATCAGAGCTAGGAACAGCTCAGAGAATCGCAGCAATTTGATACTGCCCTTGATGGCAACCAGCTGTCAGTTCATAACTACTTACTTGGGGGTTTCAGCAGGAACTTGCAGGTACCTTGTGTCCAGCCTCGTACAATTTCACAGCCAGAAAGGTTTCCAAAGCCCCTCTTCGGGCTTCACCCGCCCCTCCTGACGATACTGCTGAGCACAAGCAGTACCAACACCTGCAGCTCAAACTAAGACACAGGCATCACACAGCAGTATTAAAAAAGTTATTGCACCCAGCGCATTATTCATGTAGAAAACAGGCTTGTAAAAGSTAACCTGTTAAAGAGAACTTGCCCCTTTTCCAGCAAAAACGCTCACAAAATTCACAAAATGTTCTCAGGGGCTGCGAGCCCCAGCAGAGACCCTCCTGCTTCCCAAGGGGTGCCCCAGGCGCCCGGAGCGGCCACAGGACGGCCCTTGCCCCTTGCCAGCTCCACGAGGCCCCTTGCCCACTCACGGCACCACCAGCTCCTTACAGCTGCCCCCAAGAATTCTGAGCCAAGAAGGCAGCATTTTTTAAATATTTTATTTATTATACAAACTATTTACAAAATCAGCTACTACGACCACAGACTTCCAAATTCCGGCTGAATTCTGACAGGAATTCACCAGAGGGAGCTCAGATCTGACCTGAGCCATCCCCAGCTCCTGGTTTCTGAGAGCATGCAACGTGGCCCACAGAGGCAGGACGAGCCCATTTGCACCTTGGAGCAGCTTCAGGAAACATGGAACCTGCCTGAGACGGTAACAGGAACCCAAAGCTTTCTGCAGAAGTGCCTCCATCAAGTGGGAATAAAGGATCAATAAAAATAAAAAAAAAAAAAAAAAAANAAAAAAAAAAAAAAAAAGAAACAAGCTTCTGCCAGAAGAAACATACAGTACAGGCGACCACAGCGCATCCCCGCTACCGGCCTAAGGGCAGCACAAAGAGCTAACACGCTGCAGAAGGTACAGAGCTAGACACAAGTTTAGAAATGGTGTGATAGAGTCCAGGAACACGGGACCAGCTACAGGCTTGTGGAAAAAAAATACAGATGGGTTTCTTTGAGAGCATCCATCACAATTCCGACTGTGCTTGTGTTCCAAAGAAAATCCTTGGCATCTCTGTAGCTGCTGAGGAGTGGGGTGGCAGCTGCTGTCTGCAGCATGSTGTAAAGCATGTAGGAGCTCTTTCAAGTAAAGGAAGTTTGTCCATCACCCACTTACTTTGCCCAAAAACAGTCCAGCTCAAAGGAAGAGGGGAGAAGATTCCTGAGGAAGATGTCATCGGCTGAGGCTGCCGCGGGGCTGGAAACGTCCTCGCCAGGTAACGCCACAGGAGGCGGCTGCACCAGGGAGCAGCACCAAGGGACACCTCGCACGGGGCAGAGCTCGGGCCCCGCCACCGTCTCCCCTCGCTGCGCCGAGGCGGCACGGCGTGGTGGCACGGSCAGCACGGGAGCTGCAACTGTGCTGGCCGCCCCGGCCATCCCTAGCGTGAGGAAAATGGTCCCACGCTCTTCACCCCAACGAGGCTGGGACTTCACAGAAAGGAGCCCACGCTCAAAAACTGAGAGCACAGCCACTGCTGCAGTGAACTGTCAGAGCGCAACTGTGGCAGCTCTCGAGCTGACAGCCTCCCAGCACCTCGGTGCCCAACAGGGAAGGAATTCACCAGGCTAAAAAAATCCCCCTGAGCAATCTCAGCTGGCTGCTTTTTGGCACCATAATGGCTTGTTGTTTCTGTACAGAGGTGATACACATAGCCCAAGAATAGCTAAGATGCTGCCTTCATAAAGAGATTTTCTAGATGTAGAATGCTTCCCCAAATTCCTAGTCAATTCAGCTAGGCTGTATTAAAAAAGAACACACAGTCATCTTAAATCTGCACTGTGCAGCAGTCTGCCTAGAAGAGCTCAACAGCRGAAGAAAAACGGACCAAAGAGGAGGATGCAGTTTTTTATCTAACATTGTGTTAAATTAGCTCAGAGATGCCAGCTTGAGACCCCATTCTGGAAAAAARAAATGTACCTGTGTAATCCAGGAAAAATTTATGTTGCCAATATGGCAGCAGCAACGCAGGTTTCTCATGCTTGTCAGCTACCAACAGCTCTTTGGCTTCTGGGGCTGCTGAAAACCTAAAGCTCTCCTTGGACTTTGCATTACCAAACCCTTCAAGATTCCCAGACTCCCCTTCCCTTTATATCCTTGGGAAGGCCTGACCAGACTGCCAGCAATAACACGCCCCGATCAAAAGCTTACTTCTCATTCTGGTTTGTCCACGCTGCTCCCCACAGGCCAAGCCACAGTGGGAAGCACTACCCGGGCAGGATTCACTGTGGGTGAAGTTCTAGTGAGCACTTTGTGCCTCAAAGCCAGCAGCACTGAATGGAACAGCRAGAAAGGAGCGTGTGAGAAAGAGAAGGGAGGAGGACTGAGAGGAGAGGAAGCCAGTTGCTCTCCAGGCACCAACATCCCTCTGGAACTGCCTGAAATGCAGTAGAAAAGAGAAGGCTACCGCATGACAGAGGTAGAAGCCGAGACCCTGTGGGATGCCAGGGCGGAGGTACCATGTTCTGCCCAGAACCATTACCCCGTGTGCACTTCTGCACCAAGACAAGCCCAGCACACGCTGTAGCTGCTCACAGACCTACCACTGTTACTACATACCCTGAAGGTGAACGTGGGACAGGCTTGGGTGCTCAGCACTGAGGGATCGCATGCGTGCCCATCCCCTCTCTCCTGAGGAAGGGAAAGGAAGGCAGGGCATGGGACAGCTTCCTGTGCAACGTCATAACTTCGCTGTCAGAAACATTCAGTGGAGGAGAAATTCTTCTTCCAGTTCATTGCAGAGGCTCATGGCCAGCTGCTGCTGGAGAAGGGTGCTGCTGCGGCCAGACCCTGGTGGAGGTAGTACAGAATCACTGTCAGGGCCAGCACTTGTGCTCTCACGAGACTGTTGTCCCCTCTGGGTTACTTCCTCCAGGAGGTGCTGACCATTTTGGACCTCTGGCAGAGGCAACAGAAAGCAACATCCAGAGCAAGATGCAGGAAAACCAGAAACCCAGGTGCTGAAAGGAAGGACAGCTCTGTACCTCTCATGAGCCACTGAGTGAGGTGAGCTCTTGGGGAGCATCACAGGGGCACCTGAGCCAAAGCATGGAAAATTACTAAGGCTTCTCACAAGCCAGGTTTCCAGCAGCCCTCCAAGCTGCTCTTCCCCCTTCCTCCCAGACAGCCAGAATAAAGGCAGCTCAGCAGATCTTCTGCACCTCAGTGCGACTTCTGCTCATGGGCTTCATCTTCTCATGATAGGAAGAGTGTTCAAGGTGCAGGGAAATCCAGTGCAATACCTTCCTGATGGATGCACCGCAGTGCTCTTCCTGTTCCACACTGAACCAAAAGGAGAATGAGGGAAAGGAAAAAAAATGAGCTCTTGGTGACATACTGTGGATAGGGAAAGGCCACATGATATCTTCTGGATGACAGATTCCTTTACATGGAGTCTGTGCTCCACCTCCATTGCCCATGCGAAGGGAAAGAGAAGTAGCAGCAGATTGAACCTGGGCCTGGCCATGGGGAGCCAGGAGGCTGGGTAGACTCCTGGAAAGGGGAAATTCACAGCATGCCAAAGCCCTCACAACCCTCGCTGATGGCCAGCTGCAGCATCTTATGCACTTCTTCATAGGAGTTGTAAGTTGGGAGGCACAACTGGTTAAAACTGCAAGACAGAAAAGAAAAATTCCGTATAGACTAGATCTGTTAAACCATCCCCATCAGCTGCTTGCAAAACAGGCTGACAAGAGACACACACACACACACACACACTACATTTTACACACTTCTAACTCACCACAAACAGCTCGTGGTGGCTTCCCACAGCAGAAGGCAGAGAGCTCCTCCAGCCCGGGGTACTTACCAGGTGTGGGCTGTCGGCAGCGTGCTGTGGGTGGGCGCCGCGATGATCTGGAAGGATGGACAGAGCGCAGCAAAGCCTCCCGGGGGCAGCTGGGAGGAACCAGTTGTGAACTGCAGGAGCCTGGCCAGCTCCTCCTGCGTGAAACTGGAGACCACAGTCCAAAACCACCTCATGACCTGCTCAAAAACATGAAAGGCAAAGCCAGGTCAGATCAACAAACTTGTTCTCCAACCTGTTTTCATCTCAGGTAATTTCCATTATGTTTCTCAATGAATCTGACTACAGTCCCAGGTGCCCCCCCTTCTAATCCCATGCCACTGTGAAAAGCGGGGATGGGAACAATCACAGGGTAAAAATTTAGGCTACTACCTTAGCAGTGTCTACCACAGTACTTAACTCCCAGTACTCCATCTCAGTTGGGGTTGCRTTCATCATCTTAAAGCATCCTTTAGAGATAAGCATATCGCCCAGCATATCAACATATTGGTATAGTAGCATAACTTCCACCAACTCCTCTCAATTGCCCTCTGAACTATTCTTAATGAGAGTTTTGTTGTCTTGTCTTAAACAGAACACTGCTGTAGTAAGGCTGATTGCTGCAAGCAGCAGGAGGCAACYCTTTCACTTACCTTCTCACGAAAATGCCAAGATCCTCCTACCACTACAGCATGCGCCTTGAAGTCGCAGACACTGATGTCCCCAGTGCCACACATAAGCAACTGAAAGGCAAGGGACTGCAGTAAGAAGGTCAGAACCCCGTGAAACACAGAGACAGCTACTGTTAAGCTAACAAATGTTTAAAGTGGTTAAAGAAGGAACAATCTGGCTTTATTCCCAATCCAACGAGCTCTTTAGTTCTCAGCGAGGACAGTAAGCACAGGCAGGGATGCTAAGGAAGGCAGCAATTACCTCTAGCTCATTCTCATCGAAGATAGCGAGGAGGTTCTCAGGAACCAGCTCATTGAGACCTGGCAGAGAGGAGGAGAAGAGATGAGGGTGCTGGAGCACGAGCCCCCAGCAGGGAAAGGCGAGAGGAGCGGGGTGCCCGGCACGTTACCTTTCAGGAAGTGCTCCACTTCCTCTCTAACCTGGTTAGCCAGCCTGTACTGCGCGAGCAGGTTCAGATACAAGATTTTATTTTCGTTGCTTACAGGCACCTGAGCCCCTCCGGCCACAAGTTCAACCACCTGAAAGGAGGATATTACTTGGCATGAGCAGGAAAAGTAGTATCTCCCAAACAAACTCCCTACTGGAATGGACCCTCCTTGCTACTGTACGGAATAAGCTCCCTCTTGTGGGCCACAGGTGGAAGGRGTTCCCGGGCAGGAGAGGTTACACTCTCCCAGTTGCAGAACATCTCCCTCACCTTCTCCAGCTGTCCTGTTTTGCTGTACTTCTCTTCAGCAAAGACCAGATCCATCTCACTCACGTCGTTGTTCAGTATGAAACAGACCTTGGATTTATAGAATTCTGGGTCATCTGTTTCAAAATACTGAGAAAAAAAAGGCAAGGGTGTATGGGGCAGAAAGAAAAAAAATAAATTAATGACCATGGCTAACCAGGATTCTGGATCTGTTTCTACTACAGCGGCATTTGGCCTCTCCCCACAACCCAAGAGGGGCTCTCACAGGGTGAGGAACCTTCACCTTGTAGTGCATGCGCAGCCCGATGATCTGGGCCAGGAAGGAGCGGGTGAACCGGGCTCGCACCAGCTGCTTGTAGGCACCGCCCAGGGACGACTCGTAGAGACACTTGCCCACCAGGCGCCCGGCAAACTCGTAGACTTTCAGCCGTAAATGCGGGGGACGCCCCGGGTTCGGATGAACCTGCGGAAAGGAATTAAAATATCCAGGTACCAGGCAAGGCTGGCACAGCGGCACGTAGAGCATCAGCTCAAGGTGCTACATTTCTCACACTGCCCAAGGAGCTCTGGAGTGGTATTTTCAGAGCCAAACAGCAGAAAGGGAATGCTTGAGCCTGCCTAGGAAGAATAGAAAAATTGCTTCACACGCACAGGCCAGAACTTGTGAGGGAAGAAATGTATTAGAAAAGATTCAGGCCCTAACAAAGACCCTGATGCCACCTTCCTTACTCAGAAGTCCAACCTGCTGGCTAACTGGCTGCCCTGTTCAGGCAGCTAATGCTCTGGCGTTTCAGGAGGGTAAGATGATCCTACAAAGCTTTGAGAAAGACACCTGGAGGATCGGGAAGACCTGCTAAAGCAGGGGCAAGGTTGCAAACTTCCCAATGAATTTTCCAGTTGGCCAGTGCATGCCAACACACCCCGTTTTGCCCAACCAGCACAGGAAACTGCAGACTCACCAGGGCCTGGTTGTTATCACTAAAACGGGTGAAGAGTTGGTTGGTGGTATCAAACAACGCCTTACAGATGAGCTCAAACCACTCTCTGCGTGGACCTCCCCAGTCCAGAGCTACAAGGTAAAGCAAGCATGGTCATACATGGGTCACAACTAGGGCTCAGTATTCTCCAGTCCTTGCCTAGATCAGCACTACTTAAATCAGTATTTGCTTTTTATTTAAGGAGTTTGCTTCCCCTGAAGGAATGCAAACACTGCAGCCAGCCCCTTTGCCAGGACTGGGCACCCTTCTGCCAAGTCTCTTGGCACTTCAAGGAAATATCATCCTGGCACAGCTCAGCTGTGGTTCAGATCCAACAACAACCAGACGTGAGCAGCCCCAATCTTGGCCAGGGATATCAGAAAAACAAACTCTTAGGCAAAGAACTATTGTTTCCGTTTCAATTCCAAAAATTCTTCCTACTGTTAAGCTATCTGTAAAGTAAACAGGCAGAAACATTTGCCTAATTCATTTTCCTCTAAGTACCTTTGTGTCACATTCTTGCCACCAGCAGGATATTTTATTCTCTCACATGATCTATGGTTTCATGCTCAGATTCTAAAAACAAGGCTGAGTTAGCCTTGTTTTTGTGCAGTTCCTATGAGCCTAACTTGTGTAGCTACGCTCCTAAAATAAGTGTCACTACACAAAGAATTTGCCAAACCTCCCTCTTCACAATATTCACCCTCTCTTTAGCAAGTAGCACCCTTAACCACCAGTTACAGGTGGTTTGGGGGAGAACCAGRTAGACACCAAGGCAGAATGGCTTTGTAGCAAAATAAACAGCATGTAGACTCAAGAACTCTAGGTTCTGCTTTCAAATATAGCACTGATTGATTTCTCTTTCCTGGGCCTCAGGTCTTCACATAAGGTGAGACAGAATAACACCAGACGGATAATTTATTGGCATTTATTAGCACGTGAGAGAAAATGACAAGGCTGGAAGCCACAGTGGACTGAGGTACCACTCACTGAGGTACCACTGAGGTACCACCACAAAAAGCAACAATTTCAGGCTATCAGACAACTCCACCATCCTTTTTTCTCCCTTCCCAAACATACTCCCAAGAAATGTTAACTCACCTTCTTCATCCTGAAAAATCACTTCAAAGTTTTTGCTCCAGTCAGAAACGGAAAAATTCCGCGTTGCTTTGAGAGACTTCAAAAAAAGAAAAAAAAGTAGCAACAGTTATTACTGCTTGGCACCCAGGAACTAGCATGAAAACCTGCACATGTGGTTGGACAATTTAAGCAAMACAAATCTGAATTAGGAAATCCTAGAGTCCAAGTTTTACTTCTCTAAAGCCACCAAAGCCAATTTCTCATTTTCTATTAAAAGAAATAGAAAACACGATTCACATAAAAACAGTTTATCTTAAAAAACCAGCATGTGGTTTAACAACAGCTCAGATGTATCCCTCTCAAAGTTACAGTGCAATACTGTTTACAGTATTAAAATGCCTGTGGTAGGAGCAATTTTTGTAAAGCAGTATCAAATCACAAGGCAGATTTGAAAAAGGAAATGCTCTTTCAGAGAACATCAGAAAATAACCTGATTCACCCAGTTCATACTTAAAGCAAGTCACGATGAAAAACAAAACAACAAAGAAAAAAAAATCCAAACCAAAGCTATTTCTGTCCTGATTCTGGATTCCAGTTAAAGAAAAAAGCAAAAGCAACACAGAATTCCTAAAGAAAACAGTTAGCTTTGACTAGCTGATCTTCAGATAAATTGGAACATCACGCTAGTCACTCCTTCATGCTAAACACCCTAGTCACATTCATTGCATCTATCAATCTTGTAAACTAATGCTTACATTTATTAATTTAGCACTCAATTTATTTCATCTTACCATGGTTTAACACCAGTGCTAACGACAGTGCATCAATTTCCAAAATGCCAAGAAAAACAAGTCACGGAAATACTGTCACATGTGAAGTCATTTTGTAACAAGCTATTAACTGAAACAAAATCTTGTAAACAGTGTAATTTTGTACGTGCAGGAAATATTCCAGAATACAGATTTACTAAGTGTAAATCAAGGAAAATCCTAGCCAGTCTCCAGTCTCTTCTGCCTCCCCCAGAAATGTTCTTTTCCATCTTTATAACAATTCTATTATGAGACATGTGGAAACAATAACTCAGGACATTGCCTGTTCTGTGCATGCAGTATTTAGAACATCAAATGAGAGCTGTATTATGAGTGTCTTTTTCTTAAGTTTGGTTTAGGAAACATGTCAGCTCAGGTCAGCTCCAGGGAAGACAACTCCAAAGCCCTACAGAGTTATTTTATTATGGCACAGATGGGCTTGTCGCAATGGTTCAGTGCAAGAGTTTAGTGCACAGAGCTTAGTATTATAGAATATGAGAGTTCAACTCAGCTTTGTAGTGAAGAGAGTAGAGAGAAACTTGAGAACTCTAGGTTCCAATCCCAAACTTAGTCCTGAGAGATAAAGTCTCTCTCTGGGCCTCATGTCCCCATGTAAAGTGGGGACAGGAACTTCTCTAGCCAGAGAATTTCTACTTGTATAGGTTATGCAAGCATGTAGCACAGGCACCTCTCTGAGATTCCTTTACTCTCTGAAGCGTTGCACAAACAACGTGAAAGAGCCAAAGCTTCCTAATTACTTACAGACAGACCTGATCTTACTATCTGTAGAAAACAAACAGAGCATCCCACAGGTAAGGGCAGCGCCAGGCCTGAGCACAGAAGCGCTACCTTGGGACTTTTTTTCCTCTTCTTCCTGTTTCAAGGCTGCCTCGAAACAAAATGAGACACTCTCAGCACAGCCACCTTAGCCCGGGTCAGTCTGGATTTCTTAGGCACGGCACAGAAAAGGAAGGGAAGCAGCCCTGGCCTGGGGTGACGCGAGCCCTGCACTCACCGACTCCAGCAGGCAGTGGCGGCTGACCTTGAGCGTGACCTTCGAGTGAGGCCTCTTCATGTGCACCTGGCGCAGCTCCCGCTGGAAGAAGTTCACCTTGTCCTGGAAGGTCTCCGAGCCTCCTGAGAACAGGGACGGTCGGGGTGAGGCCTCAGYTGCCCACACCCCAAATGTCTAGGGGGGCATTTCTAAGGCTAACTGCACAGCTCAGCGTTATCATGCAAGCATGAGGTGGTTGCAGCAGGTTTGGAGACAGAACCCTCAAGGCAGCTGTGGTGAGTTTTGCAGACATTCAGCTGCTCACGGGCTGCTTTCAAAGTTAGCAACAGCAAAGTCAGGCCAAAAAGGAATCGCTACCATTATGAAATGCATTCACTGAAAGTGCCCTCAGGAGTAAAACATGAACTGCAAGAATTAGAGTTCTCAGAGAWCATTCAGCGCTGACAATCTTCATTCATAAGGGAAAAGAACACTTGAGTGCTAAGATCCTGATTACTGCACCCAGCTCCCAGCCTCTTTACCTATGTTTTTATGCAGAGAGCGAATGAAAGTGGCTGCCAAGATGTTCCTTTCCTTGCAGCTGAGCTCCACAGGGGGCTGGATCCCATCATCCACCACCAGTGTCAGAAGCTTGTGCACAGGGTCAGGACCAAGGTATGAGAACTAGCAGCAAAAAGATGCGAGAAAGGGAAAATCCATCATGCAAAAGGCACAGCATGTTCAGTAGACAGAGCAACACCACCTGAGCTCTCAGACTTCCTCTGCCCACCCATGCAATGCAGTTAACAGTAACACTGCTTTAAGCACGTGAACCCCAGCTGGCAGGCTGCCTCCAACACTGCTCCTAGGCTGGGGTCTTCAGAGGGGACAGTCACAGCAGGGATACGGGGAAAACAGAAGAAATGCGAAAGGAATCAAGATTTATACCTAAGATTGGCGGGAAAAAAAAAAATGACAAGAAGGGGTGACACAGCCCATTCCTTCTCATACATCTTAGCAGAATTTAGGCACTAAGAGGGAATTCCAGAGTCTGGATCATACACAGCAGCAAGTCACTTAGTGAGTATAAACCCTAAAGAGGAGACTTATTCACAAGGACCACCAGTCCACAACAGGGCAGGAGCAATGGTAGCTGTACACAGACTCACCTTCGTGCCAGGACACACTCTAAAGGTGAAAAGACGCCAAGGAATTATCTTCAAATAGAACTCTTTCACTGAGAATTGCTGAATAATCACAGGAAAAAGAAAATGTTGAAGGTCACRTATACAGATTTCAAGTATTTCCCTGAAATAAACCCACTAAACAGACCCTCCCCTTCCAACCCCRGGGCAAGTTTCTGCTAATTTGTGTGGCATATTCCTCTGGCATGATACATAAAAACCTTGAAAGGGAGCAACAGTGTATACAGAGCCCTAAACAACTTCTCAGTAAGATTTACTGCACACATTTGTGATGCAGGTGGGATACCAGTGTTATAGACAATACAGCAGTAAGCCATGGTGATCAGTAAAACACTTCTAGTCCCACTGGAGGGTAGACTAACCACACTTGAGAAGCTGGATTCAGAACAAGATTTTAATGCATTAGCAAAAGGCTCTGGAAAAAGATTAAAAAAAAATCACCCTTCACCTATCAGATCTATTGCTATTACTTCCTGATTTTCAGAACAATTATTTCAAGCAATTTTTAAAAAACACCTGCAATCGCTAAATATGGAAGATTTGTGGAAATGTTGGTGTTCACGGTATTTCGGCCAGAACAGACACCTACCAACTGTGGAACTGCTGTTTCCCAGCAGCCTTCTAAGACCAGATTTAAGCATCCTTAAACAAAACAGAACATCATTTTCTGCACAAGCCTGTTATATCTGCAATGCTGGGAAGTACGATCAGCAGAATTTCCACAGAGAGTAAGCAAATATGAACAGCAGAATCTTAAGGAACTAATAGCACAGCAGCATTCTGCCTGTCACACTCTCTTCAGCCAAATCTGAAGCATCTAAATCTGGGTTAGACAAAGCAAACAAGGAAGCTGTACATTTGCAGTGTATTTGGACACGTCCAAGGGTGATAACTTAGTGCTCCTTACCTTGGGTGACACGTAGCAGTAGACTTTTTTAGGTTTCTTCACTTTCTCGGGAGTTTGGCTGTCAGAGGGAGAATCTTCATCCTCATCCTCAGTGGCGGTTGAAGGGCGGCGCTGGGAGGAGCTCAGGTGCGTGGGCGGGAGGTGCCACTGCGTGTTGGTGTAACTGGAGGCATTGTAAAGGTAGGCTTCAAAGTAGATGCTGACCCCCGAGGTGGACACGTTGCGTTCCACGATGTTCTTCTCATTCTCTGTAGGAAAGGGACACTGAAAAGTCCTGTGCAGCCAACTTAATTCAAAAGCAAGGACCAAAAAACAAAGAAACTACAGACAATGACTAAATTAGATTTTAAAAACCCTATCTAWCCAAAAGAAAACATGGTCAAATGAATCTCTAAAGAGAGCACAGAAGTACGAATGCAAAGATTTCAAGACACTAGTTTCTCTGTCCTGGCTTCAGAAAATAGATGGCTCAAGGAGAGAAAAGAAAAAAAAAAGGGGGGGGGGGGG